AGATACGTTCCCACAGCCGCATGCTACGTTCCCGTGATCACCATGCCCTTGCCTTTTCTTTCTCGCCCTTTGTTCTCTCTTTGTCATCTTCACTGCCTCGCTCTCGCACCTTGTCCTTGGTTGCTAAGCAGCCCCTCTAGTATATAAGGACCCCCTTAGGCGCTCCCTAGTCCCCATCTCGACCTCTTGGTCATTGGGACTAGGTGAGTGACCATAGCGTTGTACTTCCCTTCGAGTGCTAATGTATAACTTGGTCATTGGGACTAGTCTGTCGCTGGTTGTGTGAAGACTAGCTTTCGTCCGTCTCGTGCCTTCGTGCCGACCGCCGCTCTGCCCCGTCGAGTTTTCTGATATGTTTATCCCTCTTACCCTCTCTTCTCCCCTTTCAGCTCCTCGCCGCTCGCCTACGAGGTCGTCGCCGAACGACGATCCGAGTCTACGCGCCTAGTCGCCGCGACATTAGGTCGAGATCTCCCCTCCGGTGCTGACGCTCTAAACAAGAGTGTCCCCGCCGCCGCTACATTGTCTCCCCCACCCTGGACTGCACCGGCAGACTTCACGCGTGGGACACAGAAGACCAAGACCACTGTCACCGACGGAAGGACCTAGACGACGGACTCTGGTACTGGGTACCGTGCAAGCAAAACCCCTGCCTGAACCGTCATCACCGTCCTGCGCGGATCAACTGGAACGCCTTTGCGGACGAGTTCATCCCAGTCCCTGACTCCCCCATCGCTGAGTCACCCACGACTCGATCCCCCATCCCCGGCACTCCGACCGACGAGCTTAAAGTAGCGCTACTCATCGCGCTTCCCCCATCCCCTATCATCCCCCCAACCCGTCCACCGTCCGCTCCACCCATCATGGGACAACAAGGCGGACAACCGCAGACGACAGGCCCCGCCAACAACCCCCAGCAGACCCAACCGGGCACCCAGACGGCAACACAACCCCCGGACCCCATGACGGTCCTACTCCAATCGATGACCCTCCTCACCCAGTCCATGGCGCAGCTCGCCAACTCGACCACCGGGACCAACAGCGTGAAGGCGGTTCAGAAGCCCTCTCTCTTCAAAGGCGGACAGGGGGGCGAAGCACGACGCTTCCTGGCCGCGTTCACTCTCTGGGCCATGTCCCAAGGATCAACGCTCAACCACGTGGACGCCACGGGCAACACGATCAGCGCACACGATGACCAGTGGATTCGGGCAGTCCTCTCCTTCATGCAGGACAGTGCGGCTCTCTGGGCCACTCCGGCGATGGAGGAGATCACGCAGGGCACCACCCCGTTCAAAGGCTTGTGGACGGAGTTCCGCACCCAGTTCAAGGCCCGATTCGAGACGGTCGACGAGGCGGTCGATGCGAAGGAACGCCTCCGTACGTTGTGGCAAGGCTCCATGACTGTTCCGGAGTACGCCGCACGGTTCAACGAGCTCTCCACCCGTACGGGCTACTCCAAGGCCGACCTCCGAGACTGCTTCTACGAACACCTGGCGGACTCCATCAAGGACGAGTTGGTGCACACAGCGAGGCCCATCGCTTCTCTCGAAGACCTCATCACCGTCCGACATCGACGTCCGTGTCCGCCAACGCCGTGCCGAACGGGATCGTCAGCGCGGACGCACCACCACCACCACCACCGCGGCCAAGCCGGCTGTTCCGCTGCATACCACCCCCTTCACGCCGCCTGCCCGGGACCCGAACGCAATGGACATCGACGCGAGTTCAACCGCCTCATGCACGGCAAGTGCTACGGTTGCGGGTCTACGGCGCACGTCAAGAAGGACGGTGGCCACAATCGGGACATCTGCGGCTACTGTCGCCGTGTAGGGCACCGCGAGACAGTGTGCATGGACAAGTTCCTGAAGAAGCCCCGTTCGCAGAAGCTCGCTGCCACGGAGGAGGGACCTGAGGAACCCCAGGTCGCAGCATCAACATCGACGTCTGCGGACGCCGGAGCAACCAACGCCCTCATCGCGCAGCTCATGGAGCAGCAGAAGGCCCTCGCGGACCAGCTTGCCTCTCTGCAGAAGTCTTTTTAGAGCGAGCGCGTGCGAAAGCTGCCGCAGCAGCGCCCTCCAGTATGAGTACGGACTCTTCGCCTCCGCAGATCCCTGACCCCTGCCTGTACGATAGTGTTAGTTCGTGTATCATTCCCGAATTAAACCCATCCAGCTCGCATTTCCGCGTCAGTGTGATACTTAAAGGCAGAAACCGTAGTGTACGTTCCGCAGCTATGATAGACAGTGGGGCACGGCCCTTTTCATCAGCCACCGTTTCGTAAAGAAGAACAACGTCTATTTACATAGGCTAGCTAGAGATATCCCCCTCTACAACATCGACGGCTCCAAGAACAGTGCAGGCAGCATCTCCCATTACGTTAGATTACAAGTACTTATGGGCGACTACACGGAATGGCTCGAGTTCTTAGTTACGGACCTGGGCCCCGAAGACGTCGTATTAGGCTTACCTTGGCTTCGTAGGGTCAACCCGGACATTGACTGGCAGGAAGGCACCATGGAGGTTGGTGCGGAGGAAACGGAGGCCGAGGCCGAATGGAAACCTGGTATTGAGCGGATCGCCGCCAACCGGGTGCAGCGAAGGAAGTGGTGGAAGGCTAAGGTCCTGGAGGACACGACCGAGGAG